AATTTCAGTTAATAAACTTCACACTTACCTCATTTTAATGGGAAGAGAGACTTTATTTTACCTCTTAAACATACAAATGACAAAAGCATTACTGTTTGTAATCATTTTTTGTCTCAAATTTTGACATAAGTTTTCTGGATTCTAGTGTCGCTCTAATAAATCTATCCATGCTCAGCGGCCCAACTGTTTTTCCCGAAACTGCAATAACTAGTTTCACAATCCGCTCCACTACTTATGTGTGTGAAGGAACTTTAATAAAGTTCCATCAGTCCATTGGCATACCGTCCCTTATCATCTTCAGAAGTTCTTGAGAACTGATCTCTTTGAGAACGGGTGAACACATAACGTTAAGAGCAGGAATAACGAATCTGCGAACACAATTTCCTTCTTGGCTAACTTCCCTTGCCTTACTAATCCACCGAGCTGCAAGGGTCCTAATATGGCACCCCTCATCCATTAACATGGCCAAAAGCATGTTTTCTGGAGTTGCAAAGTAAGAGTTGCGAGAAATAATTGGTTTGATTACGTCACTATACTTTTTAGGCAAATAGCGAGAGGAATTGATGAAATGCCACAGGTGTCTAGTACTGTTTTTTATGGAATGATGAATCTTTATTCGGAACCAAGAGGGAGCGTAGGCTCTTAGAATGAATACAATTAAAGTTAGCAACACGTTTGATGGGTCTAATGTAGATATATATCAATAGATATGTAGATATACCTCATGTCATACCTCATGCCTGATGTAGATATGTAGATATACCTCAGTATTCGATTAGCAGTTGTTAGCCAGTGAACCAAATTCAATGTTCCTGGTTCCCGGTTATCTAGATCTGAACATTAAAAGCCAAAACTAATGGCGGTGCAAATTCTTAATAAGTATTTCTGATCAATATCTGGCATCTCGCATTCAATGCTATTAAAAGCAACAATTGAAAGCTTTTCGCATCCTTTGAGGCTCCGTCCAATGTCTCCGGTGTAAGATGTGGGACCAGATGACTTGCCGTCAATGGACTCAAATAGGTGTCGTAATGGCAACTCATTGAAATGAAGTAAGCAGATTATCCATTGTACTGCTCTCTGAAGTTTCAATTCAAGCCTGCGAATTACACCATTAAACACTTCTGTGTTCACTACGGTGCCGTCACACCCGAGAACGAAAAGGTTACTAAAATCATCCAATAAATCACCTGAATTCGTAAATGCTGTTAGGTATATGAGGACTAGATCCACTTACAGGCGTAACAAGTCCCATGTACGTAGAATCAGGCTCCGATAGAATACAGTAATGAGCGTTTACAATTGTTCTTTGGAACTGCTTGCCCTCGTGTGTTTCTGATGTTAAAGTTTTGTCATGTCGTCTATCAAAATAAAAGCCATATATAGTGGACCGATTTTCATTTGATTTTGAGACAATTTCTTTGTAAATTCTCGATTTTTTCCTCCATATTTTATTTTTGTCTCTAATGAGGCTGGTATCTGATTGCGATATTAATCTTGCGATATCTTTCATAACACTCCATGCTATAGCAGCCGTGGTTCTGTTGGATACACCATATCTTNATATAAAATGGTATTAGACAAAATAAGGTTGTTCTATTTTTTTGGCAGAGCGCCAAATCCAGTCTGTCTCGATTCTGCATTGTGCAAGCAGTAAACAGTTATACAGAAAAGCACCAAAATGCGTCGAAATTTCCAAAATTAGATGCCGATGAGGCGGCAGAAGATATAAATCTGTAATTCTAAAATTTTTCATAGTTGTTGTTTTTAAAATATTGTAACTTTTAAGTGCTACCTCAAACCGATCAACGAAATCTGTGGTTATGTATTAATTTTTGTATTTTAATCATTTTTAGTCGAATTTTTGGAACTTTAGGCCCATTGAGGCAACAGAAGATATCAACCCAGAGTTTTAAGATTCCGCTAATCTTTTAATAATGGGAATTCACATCTTTTCCGCACTACCGCAGAAAGATCTAAGAAATTTCGATTTTTTCGATACGCCCTAATATATGTATATATATATATATATATATATATATATAGAGAGA